CCCAAAAAAAAAAAATTCGATAAAAATTCACAAACCTGCGGAAAAATGCAAGTTTCTTCACTTTGATTATTTTGACGAGCGCTTGATTCCATCACGCTGCCTCACAAATGTTTGTGACAGTTTTTAGTGCCAAAATTGTTCTCATCACACTAAAAACCGTTAAAATAGTTCCAAAAATAGTCTACAATGGGTTTGGACCTTTCTGTAAATTTATCGGTGACCTTTTCACCCTGGCAACTCAGTCAGCTTTTTTTTTTACTCGACTTCCGTTTTTTGCTACCGATTTTATATATAAAGATCTATGGCGTTAGGCTGGGACCACCTCTCCCAAAGAGTGCCTTTTTGTGGTTTCTTTTTAATGTAGATATTTTACGCTCCTGTCGAGACGATGCAAATAGTTTAGGAGGCGAGCATCGACACTGCCTGTCAGAGCCAACCCGGGCTGAGAGGGATGCAATGTCCCAACAAAGAGGCTGAGATCCTCAATAAACGTGTTCCCCACTCGAGAATTGAACTTGGGTGTCCTGCATGCGACAGTGAAGCGCATATCCACTGCACCACAGACAGCGGTGTGTCGTGATGAAGACAGTCTTTCCTCTTAAGTCTTTCTCATTAAAGTCTTTCCTCACTAAAGTTAAAATCTTTCCTCACTAAAGTCCTCACTAAAGTCTTTCCTCACTAAAGTTAATATCTTTCCTCACTGAAGTCTTTACTAAAGTTAAAGTCTTTCCTCATTAAAGTCTTTCCTCACCAAAGTCTTTCCTCACTAAAGTCTTTCCTCATTAAAGTCTTTCCTCACCAAAGTCTTTCCTCACTAAAGTCTTTCCTCATTAAAGTCTTTCCTCACAAAAGTCTTTCCTCGCTTACGTTAAAGTCTTTCCTCACCAAAGTCTTTCCTCACTAAAGTCTTTCCTTATTAAAGTCTTTCCTCACAAAAGTCTTTCCTCACTTACGTTAAAGTCTTTCCTCACAAAAGTCTTTCCTCTAAAGTCTTTCCTCACTAAAGTCTTTCCTCACTAAAGTCGTTCCTCTAAAGTCTTTCCTCATTAAAGTCTTTCCTCACTAAAGTCTTTCCTCGCGAAAGTCTTTCCTCATTAAAGTCTTTCCTCACTAAAGTCTTTCCTCACTTACGTTAAAGTCTTTCCTCACTAAAGTCTTTCCTCACTTAGGTTAAAGTCTTTCCTCACTAAAGTCTTTCCTCATTAAAGTCTTTCCACATTTAAGTCTTTCCTCACTTACGTTAAAGTCTTTCCTCATTGAAGTTTTTCCTCACTAAAGTTTTTCCTCACGAAAGTCTTTCCTCACTAAAGTCTTTCATCTCTAAAGTCTTTCATCACGACATGTCCACAACCTCTCCTTGTCTCAGGCGTTTGTGGTGTAGCGGGCAGGCTCTTCAGCTGTGCCCACAAAAGACAAGCGTTCGATTCTCGTGTGGGGAGAATTTATATCGAACATCTCAGTCTTACTGCTGGGGTGTTGTATCCGTCTAGGTCCTGGCTGGCCCCTACAGACAGGATGGAGGGGGGCTCTCGTGGCCTAGAGGTTAAGGTGTTGGCCTCTCATTCAAAGGTCCCGGGTTCGAATCCGGGTAGCGACCGAAAAATTTTCTTCTCTAAAATTGTCTCCTTTCACCTCCTTTCCTGCTCTCTAGCAATGTTCTGTTGTCTGCTTTCAATTCCACTTTCTGCCCCCACCCCTTCACCTCCTTTGCCCCCTCCTCTGGGCTCCTGACTCTTTCTGCAGCCTTTCTACTGCTACTCCTTGGCTCCTCCTTACTGCTGTCTTTCTGCCACACCCCTGATCTTCTGGTAGGAAAGATCTACACCTAGCCTTCTCGGACAAGGGCGAAAAAATCTCGGGGGGCCCGTGTGCAAGTTGCGCACGTTAAAGATCCCTTGGTGGTCTAAAATCGATAAGAGTAGACTTCGGCCGCCACCCGGGCAAAATTCAAAATTTCCTACCAACTGAAAATATTAGGAGTGTCCCGCGCGCTCATATGACCTATGCAGTTGCGAGCGCCGTAAAACACTTTACAAAAACAAACAAGACAGATTGGGCGCCCGCCTCCTAAATAATCTGAATTGTGAGGAAAATGCTTCATTGAGATCTCTTTGTGTCTGCCGAGATGTTGTACCCTCTCAGCCCTGATTAACCCAGACAGTATATGTCGAAGCAGCCCGCCTCCTAAATGACCTAAACTTAGTCAAATTTGGCGTAAAACGTTTACAAGAACCTTCTGTTGTCCTTTGACCCCACAGGCCACGATGTCTGCAGTCCGTGAACAAGATGGCGGTGTTCGTGGCCTGCGCCGTGTTCCTGTGCTTTGTGGAGGGCTATGCGGTCAACGGGATGGTCAACGCCGCCCGGCCCCACATAGAGAAACAGTTTGGGATGACCAGCTCTAGGTCTGCGCATGCGCTATACTTTATCTCTGAAAAATGATCTAATATCTGAATGTTCCTTGTATTATACTATAGATCGTAAAGCGCATGGAGCTAGCTAGCTGTTGAGCGGGGATGCGCGCTATACGAATGCTATTTATTAATTAGTTTCCAAGTGCGAAAAGTCGGTGAGTATTCCTGGATACCTGGAGGTGTCATCTCTGACTCAGAGGCTGACATATAATGACCATCCAGCGCCCACGGTCACGAGCTGCCATTCTACATTCTGCCATACTCGGGCCGGTCCATGTCTTAGTGTTGTCCATTTATGTTACTCTTTGTCCACCCCTGGCTCTCCTGCCCCGCATCATTCCTTCGAGCATCTCTTTTAAAATGGCGTGGTGAAAGTTAACATGACCGAAGTTTATATTTTTCTTCTTTTTATTTTGTTAAGCAGTGGTTGTCTTGTGTGGCGTAAGGCGCCGTTTGCTTCCTCCTTTTCCTATCCTCTGTTGTTTCTGTCTGTCTGTCTGTCTTGCTCTTTTTGTGTATCTGCTGTTTATCAGTCTTACTTTGTCTGTGCACTTAGTGAGCTTTGTTCTGTCAATGTACTTCTTTTCACTCAAGATCGAACTTTAGAAAATAAGACTTAGTTAACACAGTCAACTTTCCCCAAGGATCAGCAGTCAACGACAACTTCCTGTAGAAACGACCTTTCCCTTGTTCCCTTCTAGCTTTTCTTTTTTTTCTGTATTACAATCACACCGTCTAAAGTACCACCTGTCTAAGACTACCTCTTTCCTCCTCGACAGTAGATGACCGTCTTGGACAGGTTGTACTGTGACTGTTTGTTGGGCCGGGAAGCACTTTTTATCGTGTCATTATTACATTCTACTTGTTTCCCTGGTGTCCAACACAAACCGCACCAACTCCCCGACCTCTGACCTGTGACCTGTAATCTATGACTTTGATATAGGTCAGCTCTGATCACCTCGGCCCAAGACATCGGCGCCCTGTGTGTGGTCATCCTGGTCAGTTACATCGGCTCCAACCCCCAGTACAACAAGGCTCGCTGGGTGGCTGTGGGCTCAGTCCTCATGGCCGTGGGCTCGCTGGTCTTCATGGTGCCACACATCATCCTGTCTGCCAGCAACGGTAAGGCCATCGTTCATCCGCTCACTCACTTAGCTTGTAGATTTCACCACCCCCCCCCCCCCCCGGTTGTCTCCCACGTGCTCCACGGGAGTGTCGAAAATTGCCTCTTCTCTTGAATCGTGTTTCTTTAGCATTCGTTTAAGTTCAGCATCCCCCCCCCCTCCCCGGGGGCAGTGCTACTGACTGAATTGTCTTCAGGCCGTTCCCAAAAGATGGGGAGGGGGATATTTACATGTGCTTATGCACAGTAGAATTGTAAATGGACTGATTTATCAATGCCATGCTCATACTGTGTTCTTTCCTCATCCTTACTGTCGTCAGTTGTCCTCTACTTCTTTTGTATGTTTGTCACTCTCTTCTGACCTGCTATTTCCGGGGTGCTTTGATAGTCGAAGCAGACTTTATGCTGTTGAGGCTAGAGAGATGAGCAGAGTAAGCCTGATTCCCCGTTTGGACCTTTCTGTTGACATCCGCCCCTAGGCGCTCATATGACCTTATGCAGTTGCGAGCGCCGTAAAAATCCTTACTAAAACCCAAAAAAACTTAGACTGTGACTCATTCAAGCAACCTGCGGACGCAGGAGACCTGAGTTCGGTTCCCGAGTGGGGAGCTATATCTGTGGAGTATTTTGGTCTTTCTACTGGCATATTGTATCCCTCTCCGTTGTCCAAACTTTATACGACAACAGAATAAACGTTAACCTGGTGTCATGGGTCTCCTCTCTGAACGAAAAGCTGTAGTGCGGTCAAAACTTCATGGCCCAGCTATATCCTCAAATATGTTTGTAATGGGTGAACCAATGTCAACCATACTTTGCACGGCAGTTTGTATTAATTATTGGTTTTTAAACTTTATTTTTTCCCCACAACAATTGAGGCTAGATTAAAAAACTGTTCTTCATTAATTTACATAAAATGCTACAAATTAATCTCCTTCACGCAGAAAATGGAATTGCTCACAGCACGTCCCGCTTTTCATACACATGTTGCGTACACATATGGCCGACGTCACAGCTCAACAATTACACCTTTTAGTGGCAAAACTAGTTACAAGAAATTAATTTTATAGTGAATATTTTTTGCTCTAAAAGTTCTTTAAAAATATACGTTCAATAAACATAATCCTGCGATAAGAAAAAAAATGACTAACTTGCTTTTAAAAGCGATATTGTCCCAGCTGTAAACCTTTTATAATCTATAGAAACTACCCACTGGGATTAGAATAGAGCTAACCGGTTTTTACAAAAATATTGCGCCACAATAGTGTTTAACCGTACTATAGTTTCTGAGAAGGTTGCTTAGCAATTGATCACATCTTTCTTTAATACACCATGGTGTGAAGAAACAATTCGAAAAGGCAAACATTTCATGTCGCTTTTGTTAATTGAAGAAAAGGCTTTGAGTCTGTTCATACATAGTCATCCTTTAATTTTTTTTAAAGAAACGGAATTTCTGGAAACAAGAACCGGTTGATGGCAGTTATATAAGGTGTAACAGGGAAACTTTTTTGTCTGTCCTACTGCACTTCCCGCTTTTCATACACATGTTGCGTACACATATGGCTTATGTCACAGCTCACCAATGACACTTTTTGATTTAGTGGCAAAACTAGTTACAGGAAATTAACTTTATAGTGAACAATTTTTGCTCTAAAAGTTCTTTAAAAATATACGTTCAAAAATAGGATTGTCTTCTCAGCCCAAAACTGTTCGGTATTTTGTTGGTGAGATCTCCCACTATTTAAATTAAACTCCCGTGCAAAATATGGAACACCCAGGACAGTCCGCGATGAGATTGGAGCAAAAGGTCAAAGTGTTCAAATAACAACTACATATTATATACAGAGAGAGGGGGGAGAGGGAGAGAGAGAGGGAGGAGGAAAGAGAAAGAGAGAGA